ATAGAGCTCACTCTGGCTGACTCAAGAAATACTGCGCTTTGAACTCACTGGGACTCACGCTCACCAAAAATTTCTTCAACCGGACTCACTCAAACTCAAACTCACGGCTCAAATGAGTCTGAGTAAGTCTGAGTGAATCGACTCATGAGTGAGTACGCGGATCTATTCCCTCTTCAGGCAAAAAAAAAAAACAGGTAGAGGAATCTATGAACGCCGTGCTTCCAAATAACAGTGAAAGGTTAGCCGAAATTTTCATGGGCCTTGCAAAGCAGAATAGCAAGACAAAAGAAACTAGAAAGAAATACACAATGATCATGAAAGCCGGCTGCGCATTACATAGTTGATCATTTGAAGTCAACGCGAACAGTATGACTTCCTTCTGGACACGTGAACAACATTCGAGGAGCACAGTCTACGAGAGCAGTCCGATGCATCTACCAGAACAACTTCGCGGCTACATTCACTGAAGCACTGAATAACGCTTTGGAGTACAAAGTACCGGCATAACAATTTATCTGAGGGAGAGAGAGAAGCAAAGGAAAACGAGGGGCACTAACCAGGTTGTACCCGGTTTGTACCAGGTTTGCCCTCGTTGACGTATAGGAGTCCAAAGACACACAATATAGCCTGGTTCGTATGTTACAGCTTTCTTATGAGTGTTGTACCTGTGAGCATCTTGATTTTGCCGCGACAAAATACGTAAGCGCGCCAGCTTCTGGGCGTCTTCGGCACGCTTAATTACATATGTGTCCAAGGTAGTCGTGTCTGGTGGAGTTGGTTGCAGCATGAATGACGTCAAGTATTGTGGTGATGTCACGGCTCATAACTAAACTGAAAGAAATAAAGGCGGTGGTTTTTCGAAGAGCCGTGTTGAAGGAAAAGGTGAGATATGTGGGAATTTCATCCCAGTTATCGTGATACTTGTCGACATACATCGAAAATGTATTTGCGATCGTTTTTTGAAGGCACTTGCTTACCCGTTGGTTTGCGAATGGTACACAGTTTCTGTTCAGTGTGTCGTACCACTCAGCCACAGGATATCTCGGAGCCGTTTTGCCGTAAATGCAGTATCACGATCTATGAGGGCGACAGCAGAGGCAGCGTGGCGGAGAACAATGTTCTTGATCTGAACAAAAACATTCACCTCATGCATCGGTAACAGTTGTTTGTTGAACGGCTTGGGTTTCGCAGTGGGTCATTCCATGCCAAACGTACCAGCCATTTTCGCGACCATCTCAAATGTAGTAGAAAAAAATTGTTTCATTGAGCACAGCGAATTGCTAGAAAAATATTTAGGTCATGTGGCCTATGGGTGCCTTCTGAACTACCCTGAATTCCATCGGGGTGTTGATTGGAAAAATATTTAATTTAAAAGAAGTACAGCTCTCTCTTTCTGCCCCAAATTTTGTCTGAATGTTAAGTAATGGGTCTTGTGCAAGATTTTTGAAGCTCAATATTGATAATGCAATTTTTCTGCCTCAAACGCCTCCAAGAATTTAGCCAAAATGTGTTATATTTGCATTTTTTCAATTGCAATACTGCACTTTGTATGAATATGTAAGCAATGAATACTTACCCAACACGAGACATATTTTGTAAAAAAAAAATACTTGAACTTCTTTAATTGGTAAAGAATACAGCAAAAAAATCACAAGTGTTACAAAGTCGACATTTTATCAATAATGCGAGGCAAGTTGCACCCTGCGGTGGCCCAGTTGAAAATCTCTTTTATAGCTCACCCGAAAGCGAACAAACAGTTTTTTATGTGAAAAGTTTTGTCATTAGAATTTTAGTTTTAAGAAAAAACAAACACATTTTTGAAGATTCTTTTTAACGGCTATCCTCCCATGTGGTCATACGACAGCTTCCGCCTTGCCGAAGGGAAGCTAAATGCAAATAATAAATGGACGTTGATTGTGAACATAGCGGCCCAAAAGCTTCGTAGTGCTACTTTTGTGAAAAGAAAGTACTTCGTTTGAAATAAAATTACGTTTTAAAGGCCCGCATGGCGTCAATGCGGTTCGTATCATTGGCCTGAAAGCATTTTTTATCGCGTTACTGTTGCCGTGCCGAACTTTTTCCGCATTTACTGCGCGGGCGTCGATACTAGACACAGCAGAGCTAAACTAGTTGGAGCCACAGCAGCAATGGCCATTGAAAAAATTGCGGCTTGTTTGCTTTGACTGGGCTCCGTTAGCTGAAACCACCTATACAGCTTAAGCAGGCGAAAACAAATTTTTAAGATAATCTCTCGCACCATTCCCCTATATAAAATTGCGAGGCAGTACGTTTTTTCTAAAAATCAAACAGAAATGGAAGAGGAGAATTTTATTACGTCACTTGATTCATCAAAAGTAGTTTTATTGCAGGTAGTTTATTTGCTAGCGATTAATTATAGTTGGACGCTCTCATGTTGTTGGGATCATTTCCAAGACGTCCCATTCGTGGCTCACGTTATGTGATACATTTAGCTTAATTTAGCAATAAGTAGATACTGTTGTCAGCAATAGTATTGTTTAGACGTTTGATATAGTTAGCTCTGACACTGACATAACATGTCGTTAGCCTTTAGTGTCCCTTTAACGTATAGACCTTTTTTTTGTTTTTCGATGCTTCTCTGCTTGTTCAGCTGCATCAACGAATTAAAGTGTATACGCGAGCCCCGCCGCGGTTGGTCTGGTAGCTAAGGCACTCGGCTACTGACCCGCAGGTCGCGGGTTCGAATCGTGGCTGCGACGGCTGCATTGCTGATGGAGGCGGAAATGTTGTAGGCCTGTGTGCTCTAATTTGGGCGCACGTTAAAGAACCCCATGTGGTCGAAATCTTCCGAGCCCTCCACTACGGCGTCTCTCACAATCATATGGTGGTTTTGGGACGTTAAACGCCACATATCAATCAAAGTGTATACGCGAGTGCATGTTGTCGTCACGAGCTCAAGCAGGCGCAAACAGGGCGTACGAAAAAAAAACTAAACGAGTAACAACGAAAAACAAAAAAGAAACGTACCGAGGGAAGAAATTCCCGACATATCTGCCCTTCAGCGCGAGCAGGCATCACAGCTACATTCCCGAGGAATTTCGTGAAACAGAAAAGACTACGCGCTTACGACTAGGCTCGCTGTGAAAAACGTAATCAGATGATTCTGATCACCTTAGGAATATTGTAATCTGACAGGTCTCGATAACGCCTCTTTAGATCAACAAGTATCGTCCTTCGACTAAAGTACATCGCGTGACACGGAACGTGGCTCCTGCACGCTCGCGTGCCACGCGGACGTAACCGGTTTGTGAAACCGTGCGTCTTTTGGGTGTGTTTCCACGCACCCTTGCCCTAGTGAGAGTGGAAGACAGTAAGTAAGCCTCTTCCTTGCCCCAGCAATCCGGTACCTGGGTGACAAATGCGCTCGTACAGATAAGCTTACTCCGAAGCATCATGAGCTTCACTCCTTATATCTCTGCGTGTGGTCGCTTTGGTGGAGCATTGGGCAGATAAGCAGCTCAGAATGCGGACGTCTCCAACCATACTGCGCGGGAACCGTGGTTTATGTGAGAGCGACGACGCCGATTAGAAAAGAAGGGTTCCCGGCATGAGTAACGTGAAAGGCATTCCGAATGAACTCAAGGATCCGTGCTCCTGTTCGTGAAAGCTTCGCACGCGGGGCGGAACAGCGCGAAATGTACGTGCCATCGAAAGGCTGCAGGTTTCTCCGCCCAGTGAAATCCACGAGTGCGGGGCTCATACTCTCGTTAAGGTACGGGATGGATCTGCAGTCGTGGATGGGCAGCCGTATGATTCAAGCATTTTTTGTTTCGCCTGTTCATAGAGTGGTACGTTGTCGTGGATATTTATACACAGAGCGCATAGGCTACCAAGTTCGTCTAAGGCAGGGGTTCTAGGGGAACTCCGTCGGTTTTCACGGAAAATTGTGGAACCACTGACTGTCAATTTGCTTGTCTGTATAAATAAATTACTTGTTCATGGTAGTAAAACAGGAGCGCGTTGCACTCGTTCAGGCCGCTCACGGAATTCTAAGATGTCTTTCATGGAACCCCGGGGTTCCGCAGAACTCTCTTTGAGAACTCTTGCTTTAAGGCATGCATCAAGTAACAAAGAAATCTTATTTTGCCAAAATTGGCAAAGTTGGCAATGTGCATGAATTTTTTATGAGGCTGCAAAAGGTATGAAAAGGCTGTCGCATATTGGCAGCAGGTTGCTATCAAGAGACATTGAAGTTCTGCTACCGCGCTACAATCTAAGCCGCATGAACAACATGGTAATACGAAAACTTTTTGGCAATAATATATTGTTGGTTTATTCTCACAGTGCACATCTAGCCCTTACAGCTCGAAATTCTAAAAAAACATCCAAGCAAGACGAATTCTTGGGGCATTGATGCATCCAGAAACAACAGCCAATAGTTCTGTTAATGAGTTGTTAACTTAAATTATATGACAGAAATCACTCGATGTGTACGAGCTGTACAAAGTTTAGCGCAATGATTATTGACAGCTACTCCAGTATCCTCCAGAGGGATTAACTCCCCAGTCGGCTGTGTCACTACGTGCGCGTACCTATACTGTCATCTTTGTCATCTATAGTACCACCCATTATTGCACCTCGGCAGTGGGTGCCACAAAAGAGCCGTTAAGGTTCCGGCCTTCGTGAGACGACAGACTTTGAAACAAGCACGAGTGTATACTACCGAGGGCGAACCAAAAAAAATGTAAGCCTCCCTTTCCGCTTTGCTGCTTCGGCAGTGAACGGAGATCGAGAGCGCTTCTGGTTCAGGGCCGTTTCAGCGCTTGTGGAATCCATGTCGCGTATGGGCGGCCACGCGACGCAATACCGTCAAAACAAAGAAAACGCCGCAAGCGCTCGCCGCGGACTTCGCGATGCCTTTCTTTTTTTGTGTTTACTTTACTTTAGCTGCATTTCGTCGTCATCGTTGTCCCAAAGTCTCGGTATAAAAACATCCGGAAGCTGCTTCAGTGAGCATCACACAGGTTCGGTTTCTTGGTGGTGTACGTACAGCAGACACTCGGTAGCCATGGTGAGTTCGACGTCTACAGAGTTTCACAATCGCTTCCGCCGCTCGCAGTTCCAGGATAAAACGTCGCCTTAAAGGACTGAAGCTTGATGATTGATCTATATGTAGGGTTTAACGTCCTAAAACCACCGTATGAATATGAGAGACACCGTAGTGGAGGGCTCCGGAAATTTCGACTATTTGGGATTCCTTAACGTGAACCAAAATTCGAGAAAACAAGCCCACAGCATTTTCGCCTCCATGGACAATGCAGCCACTGCAGGCGGGATTTGATCCCGCGACCTGCGGGTCAGTAGCCGAGTACCTTAGCCACTAGACCACCACGGCAAGGTGGCATGAAAATTGCTGCCTCAAAGACAGGACCACTCGTAGAAGAAACGAAAATCATGGTATTACCACCATTTGTTTGCAACAAAGCTTATCATGTACGGGATTTTATTTTGGTACTGGCGATGACTGCCGTTGATAATAGGCATCGTGCGCAAGTGAAACCCTGAGTTTCTTTGGTGTATATCTCCTTATTTTTTCAATGAAGTCAATATTTAAAATCATAATAACAATTTACAACAGGAACATTGTGAACATCAGACACACCATAGTCACAGCTTCTCAAGCTTCCTCCATCCCGGTAGTAGGACTGATCATTTTTCGCTATAATCCAGGTTAAGGGTGCTAAATGAAAACAAAATTTGAACACTGACGTGCCTCTAAATGTTGTGTTCGAGAAAAAAAAGTCACGTGGTGTGAAGTTTATGTTTACGGTATTTCCTAAAGTAGTGAGCCTTGAAGATTTGAGCTGAGCGCTTCTTCTTTAGGTTTTATTTATTGTTCACAATCGCAAATTGCACTGCAACGACAAGCATAGGAGCTTACCCACATGCTTAAGGCATGCTTAAGACTGCCGGAACTTACGAACTGTGGCTGCATGCTACAGACCTCAAACGATTGGGTTCGAATATAAGTCACTTCAATGAGCGCAAGTCACAGAAACACTGGTGTACCATTCATTGTGTGCAAAAAATAATAACGCTGGCAGTTCCAATTATTTCAGAGGCTTTGACTGCGCTATCCATCATATCCCACGGTGCACTTCAGGAAGCTAAAAAGTAGAAGAAAAATAGAATAAAGTCAATATCTTTGGAGATCTGCCACCGCAAGGCAGGTATTTTACAGCCGGTAGTGAACCTTTTACCAGAGAAATGGGCTGCGATCTGAATTTAGAGTGTAGCAGTACACGAAAAGAGAAAAAATAAATATGAATTGCTTCAATATAGGAAGACAAATGCATCTTTTCTTCACCTCAGCTTGAGCCATTAGAAACTCTGTGACACGTAAGCTGAACTATTGCAAATGACAAAGGCACACTGCGAAGGTACAGATTTGTTCTGACTGCATTTCACTGGACACTCCATTACGAGAAGTGTGCTGCTTATATAAAAGAGTGGGAACTTGGCAATCGCCACAGGGGATAACGGATATTCGAATGCATTCTTGCTCAACCGCATAACTCCAGTTGTAGATTAATGTCAAAGTTACAGTTCCAGGACACGGCTGCGATAAATCATTTAAACATATATCTAATGTTCTTCCAGACAACTTATCCAGGAAATCATTAAGAACGTGTTATTTAGTGCAAACTTACTGCTTTGTTTTTACGAGGCAGCTAACCAAACAAGAGGAATAATTGAGAATATTAGTTTAGATCAGAAGCAATATCTTTCAGTTCAGTTTTCAAGGTTACTTATGTAGAGGGCATTACAAACGAGTAGGACTGCTTTATTGGCCAGCCTGTTTAGGATAGTTTAAAATGCTTATAATCGAAAGTATATATGTGGCATGATGATGTAAGATGTCACCAAGAAAAAGTTGGTGAGATGCGAAAAATAACAAGAACCAAACAAGGAACATCAACAAATGGTAAGCACTGAGGAAAACGCTGTAAAAGACATACTTTAAATATATCATACTAATAAAGTTATAGCTTACAGAAGCTTCGGGAATACGAAGATAATAGAAAGTAAAAAGTTATTATGAAATTTATTATAGGCCGAGCTCAAATGAATTTGAGAGAAAATGCATCAAGATTTTAGAGTGATTCCACTGTGTTCAAAATTTGTAGAGAGCAGAAAGGACACATTAAGCACAAATACTGTAATGCCTGCATGTGTTTGGGAACTGAGAAAAAGTATTCGTTCAGTAACGCTATGCCTGAACAACAGATTACAAAGCACGCAAATTTCTTTTCAGTAATTTCATTTGTCTCTTCACTTTAGCTATTTCTACTTGCACGCAGAAAAAGACATATTAATAATTCTTCTCGCAGTTTCGTGCCCTGATCGTTCTGGCTATGGCCAGCAGCGCTTTCGCTGGCTACGTCGGTGGCTTCGCCCCCGGCAGCTACGCCGTGGCAGCCCACGCCGCTCCAGCAGTGACCACGGTCCACCACGCCCCCGCAGTCGCCACCGTTCATGCCGCTCCTGCAGTCACTACCGTGCACGCTGCGCCATCCGTCTCCACAGTCTCTAGGTTCCAGACGTACCACGCACCAGCCGTCGCAGCCGTAGCTCCAGCAGTCACGACCTACCACGCTCCCGCCCGTGTGGTCTCTGTCGCCCCCGCTAGGGTCACTGCCTACCGTGCTGCCCCGGCCCTCTTCGCAGCACCCGCTCCAGTGGCTGTGGCCGCACCCGCCGTGACCCGAGTGCACACCTATCACGCTGCACCAGCCGTAGTCGCTGCCCCAGCCGTCACCAGGGTGGCGTACGCTGCTCCCGCAGTGACATACGCCGCACCGGCTGTCGCTAGGGTCGCCTACCACGCTGCTCCCGCCGTCACTACCGTCCACGCTGCTCCCGCCGTCGCCACTGTCCACGCAGCGCCAGCCGTCGCCGTAGCTCCAGCCGTTACTAGGGTCGCTGCATACCACGCGACTCCCGCTGTGGTGGCTCACGCACCAGCCGTGGCCACCGTCCATGCTCCTGCCGCCGCCGTTACTCGTGTCGACACGGTGCACCACGTGTCACCAGCTGTCGCGACGGTGGCCGCTGCACCCGCTGTTGCTCATTACGGCGTAGGATATGGGCTCCTTCCCACGTATGGTCTCAACTACAAGTATGGCCTCGCTGGTGTCAACTATGCCACCCTTCTGCACAAGAAGAAATGTAAGTAGCTCACATCTCTGGTGATAATTATTACTATATAAGGCTCTTCTCGTTTAAAAGTAATGGCCGATATTGACCGAAAAGTGATAAGCGTTTAACTTTGGTAAACATGTATAGGGCGCTAGGGAACAGCCTACTGACGTTAAATGGTGTGAGACAAGAATGTGGTTCGACAATAACAAAAGGGACGCGCCTTTACGGTTCTGAAAGTCTACTTCCTGGAATGATGAAGGCTTTCACAAACTAATTTGCCTGTTTACTTGTAATTTTCTGTCGCAAGCCAGTGCTCCAATTATACCAGAGCTTTGCTGCTGATGAAAATTTTGTTGCAATCGAGGGCCTGACGAAATCTAGACCGACATGAAAGAAACATCGGTAAAAACACCGAAGTACGGTGGGAAAGTGAAGTAAATTCTAACCAGTATACACGTTAGGATCCAAACGTGCCATCAACATTTTCGCTTTAGTGAAAAGTTTGTTAACGAACCGTTTTTCAATGAAATAGTGGAAACAGCACTTATGCCTGAGATGCTACAACTTGTATAAAAAAACGCCCATGTATTTTGCATTTTCTTTTTCAGAAACAACAGCGAAGTCAGAGCTAATATGACATCGTACCGAGAGCAACTGTCATAGCCGTCATCTCTTATACTCTGTACAGTTATGCAATAAATATGTTTCTCCAAAAGTTGGAGACATGTGGATAGTTTTGTCGCCCTCTTTCTCACTGTTTCCTGATATGTGTGCTACAGGGAATTCATGTGGTATTCCTCTATTCATTTCTGTCTTCTGCTTTTTCTCCTTCTCTTCCCCTTTCTTCTCAGCTCCCTTTTTTGTATTGATTAGCTTACACCAATTTATCTTCAAAATATCACCCCTACTAGAGCGATGTTCTTAGACACCTTACAAAAATACTTTGTCTTATGACGTAATAACTTCAGTGTTTAAGTGCGTGCACATAACCATGTTCATCCACAAAAAGTAAATGTCCCACAATGTTTACTTTCTGTATGAAGGATGAGTTTATGTAGTAATATTACGACGTGCTGTTGAGTTGAACACTTCTCAAGGTGCCTGCAGAATCCCGAAACATCTTCTGTGAAAAACGAAATTTTGCAGTCGTCGGTTGAAGAGACTATGGGACTTGTCCTTCGATAAATTTCTCTCAGGTGCACATAAAGAAGAACTTTACAATGTGATAGAAACCCCATAATAAAAATAGTTTAGTATTTGCCCAGAACGCTAATACGTAAACATTTCCGGGCCTTCAAAGCTTGGATCTGATATGCCGACGCAGGTTTCAAAGGATTCGTACATGTAATTGAAAATTGGGAGGAAAAGGTTACATATGTTATCATGGAAACTCTGTTTTGTCTGTATTACTTGGCTGGTTTGGACATTACTGAAAAGGACGTATTAGCGCAAAGAATAAATTGATGTACCCACGAAAGAAGACGACCGGTAATGTTTTTTGAGCACATGTCACAAATTAAAAAAAAGCATACATTGTTAGGTAACCGTAAGAGACTATATATACAGCGTGTTTGAAATTACACAACACTTGCATGCTCACTAATAGGCCCAAGATGTGCGTGCATATTGTACAAAGGTGAGTATGTTATAAGCAAATGAGTTATTTTGCAAAACTTTGCCAGAAATGCGAGGAAACTGCCAGGATGAATTTCGGAACTTCAAAACAAGGCAAATATATTACGGAGGGGCGTTTCAGTGAACATTACACAAATTTACCATTCAAACGATAATATATGATAGTGCAAGCGTTTAAAGGATTGTTTTATACAGGATAAAACTCCACTTAAGTGTCCTCGAATTAGTTTGCTGTAGAAGTATTGTAATATTTTTAAACCATAAAGAAACCAAATGGGTGAAACAGTTGCACAAGATGCTTAAGTAAACACAAATATTTAGGTCATTAGGATCACATTAGCAATCTAAATTGCTCTGTGTATGCGATTGGTTACGTGTTAGCTCTGACAACTTTTTTTGATGGGCTAGCAATCAAGCTTTCATCAAAAAGCGGCTGCTATCTCGAAGCAGTAGGGACATGGTGACCCATGTAAACCAAACAATTTATCGAGCTTGCAGAAATACACAATGTGATATGCACAGAGCAAACGACACCTAAATATCATTCAAGTAAATATGAATCACAAGAAGTAATCTGGAAGCCTTTCTTCTATCGGTTTTTGTTATTAAACATTGCTGTAAAAATGTGTAATAACTAATAAATATAAATAACCAATATAGTGTTAGCTATGTGTAATCGTTTTAAAAAATGCCCATATGCCTTCAATGAAACTGTTACTCACAGGAAGTCAACACACCATTACGCTGTCATGAGCGTCATGACTTCCTTGTTGACTCTAGACAGACCATTGACCCATAAAGTACTCATTAACGGCCCGCTAGCGCTTATCATCGCGTCCTAAATATCGTATTGAGTTGCATCGCCTCCGCGGGTTAAAATGTACTACCTCCGGCTTACTAAGAGTCCATTTCAATTCGAGTAGATGGCAGCATGGAGTCAGCAGGTTTTGAACGACCAGCCGCGAACGGTGGCTCGTGCTTACTGTCCGGTTCACGTCGGAGGTGTCACAATATCCCGAAATCGAGCCAGTTGTTCATAGTAAGCGGAAACTCACACCTTTATGGCTATATACAAAACGTTCAGTCCCATTCCGTTAGAACAAAAATTCATTTCTCTCTACATAGATGTGCAAAAAAAGCAACCTCACAGAAATCGTTGTACTGTTACAAAAAAAAAAAACTTCTTGTGCATCGTTGTTAAGGTCACTTGGCGTAGGCCCTCGAATTTCTTTAGGAGAAACAATTATCTTTAATATATTTTTTATTCTAAACGACGCGTTGGAGTTCAATGCATTTTTAGGGGCCAACCACCTTAAGCTCGCACAATGTCCGGCCATTCTCGTCGAGGCTAAACTCACCGTGACCTTAGTCGCAGTGGAGGTGTGAAACATCTTTGCGCAATACCGTCTACAGAGGGCCCATACGCGCATATGGTTTGAAAAGTATAAAAGGCCACAACACCACAAAAAATCATTATTTGACCACTAGTCGATCATCACTGCAGAACAAAATAAAAGGCTCTTAACCGCAATCAAATGGAAAGCCAGAACATCGAAGAAACAAACCAGCAATGTCAGCAACTTTAAACAACCCGAAAAATCTGGTAATAACAAAAATGTTATCAAAAGGCTGTGAACAAAAAACAAGATAAAAGGCCGGAGCACTGTAGAAGCATTGTCATTTCGCCACGCGCAAATCAAGTCATTTGACAGATCAAATGGTTAACCAGAACAAAATGAAAGGTCAATAACCAGAATAAAATAAAAGAACTTGATTCAGGATCTCATGTACGCTGCTTTGCACCATCAATAGCATTTACCACTCACATTTCTGCAATTTTATTTCTCTCTGTGTTTAGAACAGAATAGAATATTCTAAACACAGAGAGCGTACAAAAACCTTCACTGTAACGTAGTGATGTTAGTCGTGAAACATAGATGTGCCGAAGTGGATGTGCCCTGTTACTGGAATGGTATGAAGCCTTTGTGTTCTGTACATGCTGTAAATAAAATTTTTTCTAAACACAAAAACCGAATAAAACGATACATATAGCGATATAAAGTTACACATATGGTTACACCACCGGTTCCTGAAAAGTGCTCATGATTGCACGAAGTCATATTTGTTTCTGTTAGGGATAGCCGACAATGCTCATTGCGACGCGTGCCGTGCCTAGGAGGGCTTTGCAGCATATCTTCTGCGACTGCCTTCGCAACGCTGTGCAGAGACGATCCCTCTCATGCGCTCTCGCTAGTTTTGACAACAGAACGATGACACTAGAAACCATTTTCCAGTGCCCTTCAGAAGAGTTTTCGAGAGTTCAAGCAACTAAGACATTTCTAAAATACGCAAGGATAATAGGCTTGCACGAGTGGCTGTAGACTCTTAATGATATCGTATACCGCACAAAATTGCCGCTATGCGCGGTAGCATTATGTGTGTGCTTGAGTGCTATGCCTCTCTTTCTCTCTTTCTTCATTTTTGTTTCCATCTCACCCATCCCTTCCTCTTCTTGAGGATAGTATACCAGTTATGACAAACTGGTTAATATCTCTGCTTTTTTTTTCTCGCTCATTTTCCTTCCTTGACGATTGCTACATCTCTAGGACTGAGCACGTGAATAACAGGTCACCTTGTTCGCCCTCAGTATTCGAGATGACATGCATGCATACGAATCCCCCTCAAGTATTCGATAAGATACGTTGTAAGCAGGTGAGGCTTACATAAAATTCTCTCAGTTATTGAGTAACTGATGTACTATTCTGACCACGCAACTGATGAATGCTGCGAAATAATACAGATGCTTGGTGTTTAGTAGTTTAGCGACACACTTGAGGATTTATGCTTTTCAGATGCAGATCATGGCACGACTCATGGCATGATGTTGATGCAAAGAACAATAAATTTCTAAATTTTTTTCCTTTACTTTAGTAAGTGGTACATTCATCGTATTTTTTTCGCATGCTTTCATGGATTTTTATTGACGCGTTATCATCTCTTTTGACTAGTTTGAATGACATCGCTGGAATCCTAGGTGTGCCTTCAGAAAGCTTGATGATCGGCCTTTTACTGAAGGAAATTTTTTTGGAGCCTGACTTCACAAGACATCAGCTCAGAAAACCCGCGAGTCCTTCAGCGGTAGTTCAAGGCAAAGAAAATGATGGACTGCCTATGGTACACTCCTCTTTAAGTGCGCTTGTGTACGTGTATGAGCGCGTGCGTGCGTGTGGGTATATATGTGTGTGTGTGTGTGTTGAAATATGTATTTCTTTGTTCTTGTACTCGCTCTTTCCCCTCCCCATGAGTAGGGTAGTAAATTGGACACTAGTTACCAAACTGCTCATTCTATATTTTTTCGATTTCTTCTTTTTGGGCATGAAACAAAAGTTTAGTCGAAGATAAAGCATTGAAGAAACTTTTATACACGGAGGTTTGTCTTTGTCAGGGTCCTGACAGAGATTAGTGCTTTTGTGAAAGTGTCAGCTTCTCGAAATTCTATTTCGACAATTTCACTTCAATTCATCTGACTTTTTCATTCAGTAGAACTAATAAGGACGATTGCTTACATATTGCACAGTGCCAGACAGGAAGTGTTGTCAAGTTGCATAGCCTAACGCAAATTTTGCGAATGATGCATCGTGGAAAAAAACTGTTTTAGAAAGCCGGATGCCATATAGCTAGATTTGAACAATCACGATAATTTCTATTCTTCTGCGAACGCCACTAACCTGGCCACACACATCATAAAATTACTCGAACTCATGATTGTATAGCGCAGTGCGGTCATGTGGGGACCCTTCATAGGACGTACGTGCCCGAATTGCTTAATTTAAATGTTTTTGCTTCTCTCTCCACCTGCCATTTGGTTTAGCGTAATCTACTAGCATGTTATATATCATTTTGAGATTTATACGTTTTTACGCTGCGCAAGTATCGTGGCCGTTGTACATAATGACTTATCACATGACCACGCTTGTCTGCAGATCTAGTGAGCTCTCACTCTGCGATATAAATTACAGAATTAGGCAACTGTAATCACTACATTGAAGGGGGCTAATAAACCGTGCACGAATTGAATGATAAAAG